CTTCACCAAAAAGATACCATATTTATCACCAAACGAAGCCCTAGACGAGCCTCCAAAACGATCTACTCCTCCAAATAGTCCAAACATAGCCCGAGCTCTGATACCACTTTTTGTGCATGGCGGAAGCCAAAACTAAACCGATGTGCTTCGAGGAACCAAACCAAACGCCGAGAGAAGACCAAACAAACCAAAGTAATGCCACAAACACAAACAACCAATTTTAACGTGATTCGGCAAGTTGCCTACATCCACGGGGCAAGAAGGGGATGGAGTTTTCACTAATAGAGAAGAAGAATACAAACTGAGATTACAAATCACTCAAACTCACTAATTAATCTCACAAACAAATCTCTAATTCTCCAAATAAAACTCTAACCAACAACTCAGAAAATATCTCTTTTCTGTGCTCCAAATATCCCCAATTTGCTGTTCAATTCTCTCTTCAAATCGTTCCATATATAGAAATCCTAAAACTAAAAACATACTAGGAATTCTAAAACAAGAAAATAAGACAGATTAGGAATCCTAATAACCTGTTACCAAAATAGATTTGGAATCTTGTTATCAAAACAGATTAGGAATCTCAATAACTTGTTATCAAAACAAATTAAGAAACATATTAGGAACCTGCTATCCAACAATACCTCCAAAACTGTTCTCCAAAAACATCTCTTAAGATCGCCTAATAGATGACTAACTTTCTCTTCAAGAAAGTTGCGCAAAAGTCCACCCTACCATGCAAAAAATGGGTTTTAACTCCCCATAAAGATAAAACAAATTAATACCAAAGACCTTTCAACCTTTTCTTCCTTGGACATTCTCTTCATGATCTTCATCTGAAGCGCACAAGCAACCCTTATCGAAAGAGTAACTTCATATAACTGCAATACACACGCACACATAACAATCACCAAATGTAGCACAAAATAGTCAACTTTCAAAATGAGATAAACCTGTAGCACAATACCTTCTCATAGATTTCTGTTGGAAATTATGGTTAAATCTGGAATAAAACAAAGGAATTTAGATATGTTGTTATTTTAAATTTTTTTAGTTAACTGTTGTGCGTTTGTGAAACCCTGTGCTTGAAGTAATATTTAGCCTACTCCGGTGCAAGGATCCTACGGCCAAATTACTTCCAGGAATAGCAGTACAGTACTCTGATGTGCACCAACCCAGTAATGTCAAGATCTCCTCGATCTATAAGACCTTTCGGTCAAAGCAAATGTCTCCTCGATCTCAGAACCTTTTAGTTCAAAACCTTTCGGTTTAAGGACAAGTTTCTGCGGGCACAGTTTTTACAGTAGTAGCATAACAACAGCAACAACAACGTCAATCTGACGTTCGTTTTCCAAGCTCGAGTGTGTATACCGACGTTCGTATTCCACGCTTCCGAGAGCCAGTTCATGAGCTGCCCAAGGGCGCTATTTATAGGTCTCTAAGGTCAGCTCAAGAGTCACTCGCAATTAATATGACTGTTATAATTCTCAATGTCAATTAAGATTGTAACATCAATGCATTAAATTGCTCTTAAATACTATTATACCTGCTGCATGCAGTAACTCCTGAATACAAGGCAATCAATGAACGCGTTGCTAAAAAACGTGAGGGTCACGACTCAGCAAATCAGACGAACCTCGTTGGACAAACGAACCTCGTCGTACAGGCAAACCTCGTATGACAGACGAACCTCGTATGACAGGTGAATCTCGTATGACAGACGAACTTCGTCGAACGAGCGGACATCGTATGACAGCCGAACCTCGTATGACAGTCGAACCTCGTCGAACGATCGAACATCATCAAACAGGTAAACCTCGTATGACAGACAAACCTCGTTAAACAGGCGAACCTCGTATGACGATCAAAACTCGTCTAATCTTATGAATCAGTCGAACCTCGTCTGACTTCGAGAACGCTAGGATCACACCCTCGTGCGAATACGTAGCTCGTCCGCATGCTACGAAGCAACCTTCGTAGCAGCCAACGTGGCGCCAAACAGCACCACCTCGCCCCGATGCCTCCGTACGAAGTGCAAAGTGCGCCTAACAAAGCGTTACTTAGCGCCTCAGCCCGATTAAGCTCCGATCTCCGGCCCATTGGCCCACTACCCACTACCCAGTACCCACTAGAACTTATGAGGGATTGACCCACTAGAACTTATGAGGGATTAATTCACGGCTTGCCGTTGGAAAGTCTCGAACAATGGACTTTTTGAAACATCAAAACATAAACTTTTCACTAGGCTACTAAGCATTTATGAAAAATAATTGTAGTTAATATATAGGAAACTCATTTTGGAAAGCGGTTTTGACCAAAAAAATCCAACAATCCCCCCCCCCCCCCCCCCCCTAGTTTCGTGTTATGGTGCCATCGTTCTTGGCTTATTTTCACGTTGTGATCTTACTCTGCCTAGCTAGGATTCCACATAGGGTTTTTATTGAAGTCCTTTATGAAATCATTAACAATCCCCATCGCCCATGGAAGCAATTACTAGTCCGCTCCACAGACTATCCTCCAACGAGATTCTTTCCTGAATCGGGACTGCAACAGTCTCCAAACTAAGTAGCAGATGACTTTTGAGATAAAAGAAATTTTAAACCAAAGAGTTGAGCTGAGATTATTACCAGATGGCAATCTCGCAAAACTTTAGCAATGTCTGTCTGATTCAAGGTTGTCTGTAGATTTTTCTGAAGAGTAGTGTAGCATCGTCAATCATTGTTAAAACCTGTTTTTCCTTTTTCCTTTTTTTTGCCCCTTTTTCAGTGTGGGTAACAAAGACCGACCCATGCGTATGAAATCATGTCCCTATCACTTTGTTAAACGGATCGAGCACCTTGAGTACTATTTGTATTTGCATTGAATCTCTGTAATTAAACATTGTGAAATGTAAACCATTACTTTAAAAAAAGAATGTCATTTCAGACAAAATTAAACTCATAATCACATTTAAAACATAAACACATGGAAAGTTGGGTAAAATGAATATTTTATTTATTTTTCTATTTACACAACAAGTTAACTTATTTTGGAAAATGTGACAGGTGCAAATGGAAAGGAGGCAATTACGGACACAGTGAGAAGATCGAGTATATCAGGCAATGATGGCGGGCGGGAGCTTAAGGGGCCGTTTGGATTGGGTATTTTGAAGGGGAAATGAGGGAAAAGCTACCAATTTGTTAGCTCTCCCCCAAAATCACCTCTATAAGGAAAGCTGCCAAAAAGTTGCCAAATTAACAGCTTTCCCTTTCCTTTCCCCTTCAAAATACCCCATCAAAAGTAGGACTGGGCGTATTCGGTTCGGTTCGGTTTTAAGCCCAATCCGCATCCAATCCGAATTTTTCGGATTCTCAAAGTATTCGGTTCGGTTCGGTTTTAAGCCCAATCCGCATCCAATCCGAATTTTTCGGATTCTCAAAACTCTTATCCAGATCCAGATTTTTTTTTAAGCCCAATCCGCATCCAATCCGAATTTTTCGGATTCTCAAAACTCTTATCCAGATCCAGATTTTTTTTCCCTCCATCCGAATATTCGGCCGAACCGAAATTCGGTTCGGTTCGGTTCGGTTTCGGTTTTGAACGAAATTAACTTCATTTCATAAAAATCTGGGCAAGTTTTAGTTATATTCATCAAATCAAAACTAAAATCAGTAAAATGAGCACAAACCATATCAACAAGTACATATCATACCACAATAATAAACTCATTAAAGAGTTACTTAGTTACAAACCATGCAAATAATCCAGAAATAATTAAATGAACACCTACTTAAGTTCTTAAGTTCAGTACATTGAAATTAAAATAAACATTAAACAAGCAACAGCCCTTTATAGGACCCGAATCCATCACCTCTTATATACATCTTTGTTTTCCCTCTTTCTTTAAGCAAACAAAGTTAACAAACAGCCCTTTATAGGAAGAAAAAAAACCTAGAAAATGCAAACTTTGCGGGAGCAAAATCCAAATAAACCAAGCAATGAGTTTTTATATATATAAACCAAAGAAATCGTATCTGGAAAATGCAAACTTTGATCAGGTGAAGGTCAGTAGAGTAAACGGTTGAAATTAATGAACTTCAGAGACAAACGGAACCACGTGTGAAGGCTCAATTATTCTGCATTGAGCGCATTTTTCCCCTCTTTTCTTCCTTGTTTCGTTCTTGCCAATTACGGTGGTTGACGCATTTGCCAATTAAACAATCACAAAGTTTTAAATGCCTCAAAATCTGAAGAGATGTGTATTCATACAAAAATTAGGTTTTCGTTTGGTGGACGAAGAAACTAACCCTGAGATCGAAGACGGCGCCGAGGAGGCAAAGGCGAAGAAGAATTAGGAGGAGGAGACGCTCTCACTGTGACAGATCCCCCTGGGGTGTAACTCCGCGAACAACAAGAATCGCGATCCGAAGAAGACGCCGCTCGTAACGAAAGGAGGAGCGGTATTGTGAGAGCCTGAGAGGCGAGAGGGGAGAGGCGGCGTTGTGAGAGGCGAGAGGGGAGAGGCGGCGTTGTGAGAGGCGAGAGGCGGCTTGAGAGGCGAGAGGGGAGAGGCGGCTGTGTTGTGGGAGTCGAGTCTCTCAGTCTGAGGTAGGGTTAGGGTTAGCCGGTTAGGGATTTTAAGTATTTATAGTAGAAATCGGGTCGGTTTTTTTTGGGCGGTTTAGGGGTCCAAACCGGATCCGGACCGGTTTAATTCGGTTCGGGCGGTTTAGAGACTTCTTCTCATCCATTTAATTCGGTTCGGTTAACCGATCCGCTTTCTCGGGCGGTTTTTTCGGTTCAACCAGTTTTTTTCGGTTTTTATCCACCCCTAATCAAAAGGGCCCTAATTAAGGCTGTTTTGGAGCTGGCTCCATCTCTCTTCTACCTGGGCCTGTATTTTACCATAATGACCAGGTCAGAGTCTGAACCGTAGCCGGTTTCCATCCGAACCGGCCGGTCCGCATCACGTCGACCGCTTGTCGGACACGTGATTAACGCGGGAGAAAATCCCCGTACGCTCCCCGGTGGGGTTCTCAACTTCCTCGAGGCCTCTCTCTCTTCCATCATCTCCTCTCCAAAATTCAAGCCTTTGTTTTCCTTTCTCCTCTCCTCTGTCGAAACCCTAGATTGCCCCTCATATCCCCCGATCTCGTCTCCTCAATTTTCCCAATTTCACCCGACGTGACGCGATCCCTAATTCGAAACCCTAGCTCCAATCGAAGCCGCAGGAATCAATGAAATTAGGCTCCATGGATCCGTCATCAATCTTCCATCGTAAGTTCCATCGGATCCTTAATTGTTCATGTTCTTTAATTCTGCTCTTGTTCCTCTACCGTACTACATCCGTAATAAACCCTAATTCTCCAACCCTAATCCATCGCCGACGAATCTCCGAGCTCCCAATTGGAAATTCGACGCATCCATCAATCGATGACGATCACATGCTCGAAAACCCTAGGCCTTTTTGCGGCGGAATCGCCAAGCACGAGGGTTTTCAGAGCGAATGCGACTTCCTTGAAGCTCATGCCCACTGTAGCTCTGATGGATTCGTCGACTACATTGCCTTCTTCTACTGTACATGCTCAAAAGTTCGTATTTTGGGGTATTCTGTTCTCTCTCTGTGGCTGATTGCCCTATTTTATCTCTTGGGCAATACAGCAGCTGATTACTTCTGCCCTAGTTTGTCAAAGCTTTCAACTTTAATGAAATTGCCACCGACGATTGCTGGAATTACGCTTTTGCCACTTGGGAATGGAGCGCCTGATGTTTTTGGCAGCATTGCCGCTTTCTTAGGGACTGGCAATGGCGAGGTTGGGCTTAATAGTGTGTTGGGTGGAGCTCTGTTTGTTACTTCTGTTGTTGTCGGGCTTATATCGTTATCTGTTGCCGAGAAGAATTTTCAAATTGATCGGAAATGCTTTATCAGAGACGTTTGCTTCTTCTTGTTTACTTTGATGGCATTGTCTTTGATTTTGATATTTGGAAAGATTGGAGTTTGGGGGGCAATTGTTTTTGTTTCTATCTATATGATTTATGCCTTTGTTGTGGCCGCAAATGAGGTGTTGAGGAAGCATGCAAAGAGATTAAAATTGGATATTGTGACCCCGATGCTTCCAGTTAGAGGAAGCATTTTCTCTCATGGAAGTGAAGAGGATGAATCGGTCTATAGTCCGCTGCTTGATGAATTTGTCAGTGATGCCCCGAAGCTTGATACCTCATTGCCTCAGTGGATGTGGGCTTCAAAAATGGCTATTTATTCTAACTGTGGAGAAACGTCGAGGCCTTTGTGGGGTTGGAAAGAGGAAGAAGAGCAAGATGATGATAGGAATTTCTCTTGCGTCAAACTATTTTCATTGTTGGAGATGCCACTGACGCTCCCGAGGAAGTTAACAATCCCCATTGTTGAGGAAGAGAGGTGGTCAAAAGGGTATGCTGTTGCTAGTGCTTCTTTATCACCTATACTCTTGGCATTTCTTTGGAAGTCAGGAGAAGATGAGGGTTCAAAAGCTAGTATTGCTTCCTTTGTTGTTGGTGGTGTTTTCAGCATCATTCTTGGAGTTCTTGCTTTCTCTTTCACGGCATCTGATCGCCCGCCTCGAAGGTTCTTTTTCCCTTGGGTTTTGGGAGGATTTCTGATGAGCATAACGTGGTTTTATATCATTGCAAATGAGCTAGTTTCACTTTTGGTGGCTTTCGGTATAATTTTTGGGATCAACCCTGCTATTCTTGGATTAACAGTGATGGCATGGGGTAATTCAATGGGAGATCTGATGTCAAATGTGGCTTTGGCAGTGAAGGGCGGAGATGGCGTTCAGATTGCCATGTCAGGATGCTATGCGGGGCCTATGTTCAACACACTTGCTGGTTTGGGTGTTTCTATGCTACTTGGTGCTATATCAGCTAACCCATCACAGTATATGCTTCCACAAGATAGTTCACTGATATATACTATGGGTTTTTTAATGGCTGGCCTTGTGTGGTCCCTTTTTGTTTTACCCCAGAATGATATGCGTCCTAATAAGTTGCTAGGGTTTGGGCTTATAGCGCTATACATTGTGTTCCTCTCTGTAAGGATAAGCGGTGCAATGGGTGTTGTATCATTGGCTGGGTTACGTTAACCGTGTATATATATTTATTGAAAGGATATGCACTTGTCAAAGAATAACATATTTACTGGTTGCTTTTTACTTTCGGCGAATACACTATGTATTCATGGAGTGCGCATGCTTCTGTGACCAATTTGTGTTATTTGAGCTCTACATTGTGATAGTGTACAAAATTACTCCCATTCGCAGTTCTTGCGATGCACTTTTGGTTATTGCCGCAGTGGATGCTGCTTGGGTACACACTTCAGAATTATCATAATTCTCTCTAAGATGTGTCACGTGATGGTTATGGTTCGCCCTTCATCTTATTTTTTTGTCAGTTAATATATACATCTGTAGATTAAAGCGATGCTGCTTTTTCTGCGTAGACTCCACACCTATCTCTCTTAGTTTCCATTCCCATTCTCTTGCGATGCACTTTTAGCTATTGCTGCAGTGGATGTTGATTGGACTACAGGCTTCAGAATTATCGTAATTCTCTCTAAGACGTCACGTGATGGTTATGGTATGTCCCTTCATCTTATTTTTTGTCTTCTAAGATATACATCCTTGTAGATTAAAGGATTGCTGCTTTTTCTGCCTAGACTCCGTACCTATCTCTCTTTAGATCTCTCTTTAGTTTTGATGGTTCTCACCAAGGGGAAAAAAAGGGTTTTCAGTTTTTTTTTCTTCATCTAATTTCATCATGTTACACATCCAATTCTTTTATCTATAGATTCATATTCTAGCTGAGAACACAATTTCTCTTTATCCAGACCAGGCAAGTCAAAAGTGTTGTTTCATTAACTTCTCTGACACCAATACACTTGAAGTCAAATTATCCTGATGAACCATTTGCTGCTGTTCTAGCTCTTGTATGAACAATGTTTCAATTATATTCTAGTTTCATTTTCCTCAACTGTTGACCAATGGATTAAGCGCATTACTCGTCAAAAGGCATAATACTATAACAGGCCTGACTATAAAATATAGGCAATGATTATGCACTCTGTTTTCAAATGGTTTTGTGTGAGAATTTCAAGATATCCAGATATTTATGGCAATGTCCAGTTAACCTTGCCTTTAATGTTACATTAAACGTTGGGCGCTTCTAGACGTCGGACTTGGCGCCCAGCGCTTAGTCGCCTAGGCGGGCGCCTAGGCGGTTTCCGGGCGTTTTTTTATTTTTTATTTTTTTAATTGTGATACTTGAAGATAAATATATATATACTCAATCAAAGATACATAAATACTAAAATACCAATACTATTAACTAAATTGCTTGGTTTATTAATTACAATAGCTCTTTGTATGTTTATACTTCTCAACTCAAATTATAAGTTCATCTCAACAGTGAAAAACTCTTTCTCAACTCAAATTACTGTTAACTTATAAGTTAATGTTAAGTTTAAGTTAACAATAAACTTAAACTTAAGTTTACTGTTAACTGAAATATTGTTAACTTAAGTTTAATGTTTACTTAAACTTAAGTTTACCATCAACAAAAAACTTAATATTAGAAATATTGTTAACTTAAGTTTAATGTTTACTTAAACTTAAGTTTACCATCAACAAAAAACTTAATATTAACTTAAACTTAAACTTAAACTTAACAACAAAAAACTTAATATTAACTTAAACTTAAACTTAAACTTAAGTTTACTGTTAGCTTAAACTTAAGTCTAACTTAAACTTAAACTTAAACTTAAGTTTACTATTAACTTACAATTCTTAAGTTTAAGTTACTGTTGTTAACTAACTTAAATAGATATTTAAGAAGTACTATTTACCTTGTTAGTAGTTACAGAGATCGGGGGAGCTCGGCAATGTTACAGAAGGCGCTAGGCAGAGTAGGCGTTTGAGCAAGCGCCTAGCGCCTAGACCCTTGGGCGTACGTCTAGGCAGCGCCTAGACGTTTGACTATTTTTAAATTATTTAATTATAATAATTAATAAAAATATGTATTAAATTCATATAAATTTTTAAAAAAAGATAGCAATCTTAGTTCCACAATAAATCATGCATACTTAAATACTAAATAGCCAAGATAATAATTAACAAGGCTAGAGCCTAAGATATTTTCTTTTTTTATTTTTAATTACAATAATTGATAGTGAATGTCAACGTTATAGAAAGCTTAGATGCCGGACTGGTGTCTAGGCGGATTTCTTTCTTCATTTAGGTAGCGGTTGATGAGGTTTTGCTGAAGGTCGGAGGAGGTAGTGAATGTGTTCATATTTGGAGGTTGGAGTTTAGAGGACGTGTAGGCTACAACACATAAAATTACAACCAAGACCTACAGGGTGCAATCCACGTAAGCAGACAATGCTCCCCTAAACTCTCGTAAAATCTAGGTGGGCAGCCTAAATACCGTTTAGCTTAGGCGCTAGGCGCTAGTTAGGCGGTGTAGGTACCGCCTAGGCCTAGGCGTACGCCTAAGCGGACTAGGCGGAGGTTTTTTAAAATAGTGCTTACCTTTACTAAGATATTCAAGAACAAATATTCTTTGCTGTAATTCCATCTTGCTGTTGTGTGCTTGCAGGTGCAAGGTATGTGTTTTATGGACAGTATAACCATCAAATAGTTACTATATGATTC